TGTTTATAAAACTAAAATCATCTCACATTGAAGAGTTCCTGCCTGCTCCACCTGCAGCGTTCAAAGTTATGCAACTACCCACGCAGTCTGAACGAGGCTACTGTGCTAAACTTACACTCAGGTCAACATTTCCACGTCCTCAGTCTTGGCTCGTATTTTAGCTCATCGCCGTGCGTGCGCGTGTGTGTGTGGTTTTAGTCCAGAGCAGTGTTATGTTGTGAATCAGGCTTCCAGAAAAGGACGGCTCAGCACACACACCATTTGTTGTCTAAAAACAGAACGGACCGTAAACAGCGCGTCTGCATTGTGTCCGCTTTTATTTATTGTTGAGGGATTAAGAGTCGGGGTCATCACTGATGTTCTCGTGAAAGGGTTTACAGAATGCAATAGAAATGTTATTTTCTGGTAATGCATGGGATTTTAAACTTGTATGTGTTCTGCCGCCTGCTATAAAGGGATTATTATAATATGAACTCCTGACATTACTGGCTTCAGCCGACTGTTGAAACGAATCGGCAGGCCCATTTATTTAACTCGTTTGCTGACAAATACACTTATCTCCTGCAGCTATAACGAACGGGAAAAAACTCCTGCCCTCTCCACATGCCTGACCAGACTCAAAGTTGTATTTTCAGAGTTGTCTACTTGACTGTAGAAAGGCATAAAAAATAATCAATCACATTGATCATGCTTCAGTGACTTAAAGTAAATGAAGTGGTCTGAGCTCAGCTGTAGCTTTCCTTCTCTTTTGAGCCATTAGATTTTGGTTAAACATCTCATTTTGGCAGCTGAGTACTATAATAGTATTAATTGGTTAATGGTTTCAAATAAAGTTGTATATAATAATATGTAAATGTTACAATAAGTAGAACTTTATGCTTATTGATGCAATGTATTGTCTGGAAGCGCTTGCTCAAACTAATTTCTCCTCAGCAGTTTGAAACTGACTCAGCTTGGTCCCACTGTATAGTTGCGTTAGTGCTTTATAGATTATTTTTCATTTATTATTAGTAAACTGTTGCCTAAAGAAATAAAAAGAGCTGTGTGTCAGGAAGGAGTTGCAGCTGCTGTGATTCCTGGAGGCAGAGAGACGTGAAACAAACCTCTGTGTTGACGTTAAATCTCAGTCATTGCAGTCATGGGTTATTTAAAGATGTGGAATATCGTAGACAACAGAAGCAGCTGTTGACTTTGCTGTATTACAGTGTTTTATACTAACATGGTAATGTTTAAATTTCTCTACAAGGTATTAAGTTGCTCTTTTCTTTCTATATTTGTATAAAGCTAATTTTTATTAGTAATTTATATTAGCCACATGGATTATTATGTTATGAGTAATGTTGGAGGATGAGTTTTCTTATTGTTTGTCTGTTTTTCTGCTTTGTTTCTGTAGTTTTTAGTTAATCAAAGATTTTTTTGAGTTCACTGCAAAAGCCAAGTTCATGTCAGAGTCAGAGTTTCTTTATTGTCATTCGCACCTCATGTGGTACA